ATCTACAGATTCAATGCAATCCCTATCAAATTACCAATGGCATTTTTTACAGAACTAGAACAAAAACTCTTAAAATTTGTATGGAGACAGAAAAGAACCCAAATAACCAAAGCAGTCTTGAGGGAAAAAAACGGAGCTGGAGGAATCAGACTCCCTGACTTCAGACTATACTATAAAGCTACAGTAATCAAGACAATATGGTACGGCACAAAAACAGAAATACAGATCAATGGAACAAAATAGAAAGCCCAGAGATAAACCCACGCACCTATGGTCAACTAATCTATGACAAAGGAGGCAAGGATATACAATGGAGAAAAGACAGTCTCTTCAATAAGTGGTGCTAGGAGAACTGGACAGCTACATGTAAAAGAATGAAATTAGAACACTCCCTAACACCATACACAAAAATAAACTCAAAATGGATTAGAGACATAAATGTAAGACCGGACACTATAAAACTCTTAGAGGAAAACATAGGAAGAACACTCTTTGACATAAATCACAGCAAGATCTTTTTTCCCACCTCCTAGAGTAATGGAAATAAAAGCAAAAATAAACAAATGGGACCTAATGAAACGTGAAAGCTTTTGCACAGCAAAGGAAACTGTAAGCAAGCCGAAAAGACAACCCTCAGAATGGGAGAAAATATTTGCAAACAAATCAACGGACAAAGGATTAATCTCCGAAATATATAAACAGCTCATGCAGCTCAATATTAAAAAAACAAACAAGCCAATCCAAAAATGGGCAGAAGATCTAAATACACATTTCTCCAAAGAAGACAGACAGACGGCCAAGAAGCACATGAAAAGCTGCTCAACATCACTAATTGTTGAGAAATGCAAATTCAGAGAAATGCAAATCAAAATTACAATGAGGTATCACCTCACACCAGTTAGAATGGGCATCATTGGAAAATCTACAAAAAACAAATGCTGGAGAGGGTGTGGAGAAAAGGGAACCCTCTTGCACTGTTGGTGGGAATGTAAATTGATACAGCCACTATAGAGAACAGTATGGAGGTTCCTTAAAAAACTAAAAATAGAATTACCATATGATCCAGCAATCCCACTACTGGGCATATACCCAGAGAAAACCACAATTCAAAAAGACACATGCACCCCAATGTTCATTGCAGCACTATTTACAATAGCCAGGTCATGGAAGCAACCTAAATGCCCATTGACAGACGAATGGATAAAGAAGATGTGGTACCTATATACAATGGAATATTACTCAGCCATAAAAAGGAACAAAACTGGGTCATCTGTTGAGATGTGGATGGATCTAGAGACTGTCATACAGAGTGAAGTAAGTCAGAAAGAGAAAAACAAATATCGTATATTAACGCATATATGTGGAACCTAGAAAAATGGTACAGATGAACCAGTTTTCAGGGCAGAAAATGAGACACAGATGTAGAGAACAAACATATGGACACAAAGCAGGGAAAGCGGTGCGGGGGTGGTGGTGGTTGTGTGATGCATTGGGCGATTGGGATTGACGTGTATACACTGATGTGTACAAAACTGATGAGTAGTAAGAACCTGCTGTATAAAAAAATAAATAAAATTTAAAAATTAAAAAAAAAAAATAGAGGGCTTTCCTGGTGGTGCAGTGGCTGAGAGTCCGCCTGCCGATGCAGGGGACACGGGTTCATGCCCCGGTCCAGGAGGATCCCACATGCCGTGGAGCGGCTGAGCCTGTGAGCCATGGCTGCTGAGCCTGCGGGTCCAGAGCCTGTGCTCCGCAACGGGAGAGGCCACAGCAGTGAGAGGCCCGTGTACCCCAAAAAAAAAAAAAAAAAAAAAAAAAAAAATAGAATCTCCAATTTTCAGCTAAGCATCTTGATTTCCTAGTGTCCTCTGCAAGTAGGTGTGGCCACATTGCTAAGTTCTGTTACCAAGTCCAAGCTCGCTCTGCCCGCCGCACGACAGGCCAATAAACCCAGAGATGAGGTGTTGAGGCAAGGGACTTTATTTAGAAAGCCGGTGGACCATGAGGATGGCAGACTAGTGTCTCAAAAGAACCACCTTATCGTGGTTTGGATGCCAGTTTCTTTTATAGAACAGAATGGGGGAGGAGATGAGGAAGTAAAGTAAAAAGGCCGTTAATTTTTGCAAATATCCCCTGGAATGGCCAGCCTTGGGGAGGGGATGTGTTAATTTCTTCTTTCTTGCAGCCATCCACAGGTGGACAGGGTTAGGATGCTTCCCTGAACAAAGGCACTTTGGTTTAGCTTTCAGACAGAGGGGCAGGGTTCCCTGAGGCAGGCCATTATATATAGACAGTATCCTTTTAGTGAGCAAAAGCAGCAGAAAGCAACGGTTAAAGTAAAAGCAACAGATTCAACATGTAGTCAGATTTGGCTCTTCCCTGTTACAATTCTGGTCAATGGAATGTGAGAAGTGATGTGTATTACCTCTAGGTTGTGCCTTTAAAGGGAAAAGGTGTACCCTTCTCGGTCACTCCCTTCCTTCATGCTAACTGAAAAGCAAACATGGTAGTAAGCCACCTTGAATCATGTAGACAAGGGCAAGCAAGACCTTGCAAAATAGGACAGAAAAAACTGCATTCCTAATAACTTCATAGAGCAGAACCATCCTAACAGCATGGACTTCTATCTTGTTTAAGTTAATGTTTGTTTTATTCCTGGTCTCTCTCACACATAGTTAAATCTTTATCCCAATACACATAATCCCCATCCCCTAGAACAAGGCCTTGCAACAGGAGGCCTCACTAAATATTTACTGAATGAACAAGTGAACTAATCAATCTCTCATCTGGTTAGCATGAGCCAGAACCCTTGAACATGGTCTACCTCTAGTTACATTAAGAAATAATAAAGTCTATGAGCTTCCCTGGTGGCACAGTGGTTAAGAATCCACCTGCCAATGCAGGGGACATGGGTTTGAGCCCTGGTCTGGGAAGATCCCACATGCCGTGGAGCAACTAAGCCCATGCGCCACAACTACTGAGCCTGCGCTCTACAGCCTGTGAGCCACAACTACTGAGCCCGTGTGCCACAACTACTGAAGCCCATGCACCTAGAGCAGTGCTCCACAAGAGAAGCCACTGCACCGCAACAAAGATTAGCCCCTGCCTGCAGCAAGGAAGACCCAACGCAGCCAAAAATAAAATAAATTAAATTAAATTTAAAAAAAAAAAGAAAGAAAGAAGGAAGTCTAGTTTCTACACCTATAAAACTGTGGCTCAGATCTATATCTAATTCAAACCTGTGGGTCCTGGCTGAGCAGCCAGACTATTCCTTTAATTTTTAATATTCACCTCTCTAAATTTCAGTGAACTTAATTTTGTATATTACTTCCCTAATTTCTATAAAACTAATGGATATATCATTAGTCATAATGAAATGCCTAGTTTTTCTGGGAATGTTTATATCATTTAAAGGCTTGCAAATGATAAAGTTGAGTATTATCAGTGAAAAAAATGAAGATTGTTGAAAACAACATAGGTCACAAAATTCAAAGAAAAAAGGTGACACAACTTAACAAAATGAATCAAACTTCAGATGACAGTATCAAAAAAGATTCACGGGTTTCCCTGGTGGCACAGTGGTTGAGAGTCCACCTGCCAATGCAGGGGACATGGGTTCGTGCCCCAGTGCGGGAAGATCCCACATGCCACAGAGCGGCTGGGCCCATAAGCTATGGCCGTGGAGCCTGTGCTCCGCAAAGGGAGAGGCCACAGGAGTGAGAGGCCCGTGTACCGCAAAAAAAAAAAAAAAAAAGATTCACATTTTCCCTTAATAACAAGCAGCAGAGTAACTGCTTTTTATGAGCCCAAAGTGACAAAATTAAATCAAGCTCAGAGTTATTTAGTTAAGCCCCAGAGCAACACAGAAGCTAATGAAAATAGAAAGCACATCAAAACAAACTCAGTTCCTTTTTGTCTTACATATTGTGCTATTCTGTCAATGGTTATATTATCACCAGAACAGTAGAAAGGATAGGCAGTTACCATGTTAAAGATCATGAACGAAAGATGAAGAAAACTGAGGAGACATCTAACCTGACGTCTTTGAGCTGATAAATGAATACCAGACTCCCTGAACTTTATTTACACAACAAAAAGAAACACATTTAATCAAATCTCCATCATCTGGATTTTGTTACACGCGGCCAAACACTTTCAGGTTTTACAATTCAGAAAATTAAAGAATTCAGAAGGAAAAAGCTTACAGTTAAATTTCTTAACCTAAATATTTCATTTAGGCTAGTTTAAGAGTATGTCTAAGGACAAAATTTTTTTTAAAAAACAATCAAAATTCACTTCTAAATATGTAGCTACTAACGTCATTTTTACAGTTATTGTTTGGCCTACTTTATCCTAACAGAAAAGACTTACCTGAAATTTCAGTGATTTACATCTACAGAAATGCTCTTCTGATTCAAAAGAGAGTTAACATGATAGTCAACACACAAAAGCAAGTTGTTTGAACACTTCAACAGAAGAATATTTAAAATCCTAACTAAACGCATTCATTTACCAAATACCGTGTTCCTATTAAATGCTAGAGACTGGGTCCCACGGATCACCAAAATAAAAAGAAACATGGTTCCCCTGCCCTCAGTAAGCTTATAATTTAGCAGACAATCATATAAACCTGCTCCGGAAAGTTTTCCTTTGGCTTCAGCTAAATTAAAACAAGAACTAAGGGAGAACATACTCCGCAACCATAGGGATATTCTTTTAAAACACACTAGGATCCTCATAAAAATATGGGTAAAAGATACCTACAAACAACTCACAAATGGCCAAAACACACACACACACAATATTCTCAGCAGTAAGTAGTAATTAAAAATATATAAACTTTTAAGAAATATAAATCAATGTAACCTTCTAGGTATTTCATACTTACTAAGACGCCAATTCTCTATATGCTGAAAACTTTTTTTTGCTCTTAGAAAGAAAAACGCCACTAAAAATGCAAGAAGATTCATAGCTCAGGCTTAGAATCTCCAACAACTTACTGTTTCAAAGCTGCCTTTATGCATCAAATCAATGGGTGGCCGGAAGAGATCTGCAAGGGTAGTTAGTTTCTTATCTATTGCGCCTCCATTTCTTAATTCCTGTTCTTGCCGAACTGCAACACAGGAGGATGAGAAAGTTTCAATTAGCCATAAAATAAGTCATGAATCTTGCATTAAAAAAAAAATGTATCAGTTGCAAGAACTAACGAACAATGTGCTTGACCTCAAATGCAAATGCAAACATCTAAGGCTGACTCTGAAAAAAAATACAAAGCCAGGTGGGGCGGGAGTCTTAAGACTTGGTGCTCTCTATCCAAAGGTAAGGATAAAAATGGAAATTATGTAAGAGTCACTTATTCAAAATATTTCCTTCACATACTCAAAACTAACTTTAGCACAGGAGAAAACTTTCATCTTCATTTATCTATTTCTGAAACTCATCCTAATTTATCTAGCTACATTCTAGTTGTTTCTAGCTACATTCCCAATCTTGAAAGATTATGGCAGTGAGAGAGAATGACTACTGCTGTCATCTTCTCCTGGAAGGGCACAGGATTCCCTGGGTGACCTGAGTCAGTCTGGATTCCACATCAACTCTCAAGTTACAAGACCTAACTGTGCTTCAATGAGCTCATTATAAATTATTACAAAATCAAATATGGTTCAAGAGTTTCTCATATATTCTCTAAACATAACTGTCTTTTCTCTAGGATTCCATTGCTAAATCAGTATTAAGTCCACTAAAAGGAGAAGGCCAAGACTCTCATTCTTATTCAACAGAAAGATATAAACCTATTCCAAACAACTGTTGCCACAATGTTAATAGTGGCTGCTTTGGGTAGTATGGCCTTTTCTTCTTCTATTTTCCAATCCCTATAATAACCATTTTCATTGTGGTCATTCCTTTAACTGACATATATCAGGATCCTGAGGAAAATCGGTTTTTTATTTTATTATAGTCAGCATTTAAGTGCTCATTCAGAAACAGATTAAGTTTGTAAATTACCATATTTCTCACATTATATCCATCTGCCTTATTCTTCTATAACCAAGTAGGTTAGAATCTGGAACAATTCAGCTCAAGGGGGAGTTAATAACAATCACAGACTGAATTCATAATTTAGTTTTTAAATAAGATGAATCCTCAAAGTTACTAGGCCTAATATTAATCATCTTCTTAAGAAAAAAAATTATATAAAACAAACTAGGATCTTGACCTGAAGGGGAGTGTGTGGGTGCTTTTCCACCTTGTGGTTTTAATCTGTGGGAGAGGAGACAGGGGAGAAAGACAATGAGAGAGGGAGAGGGAGGGAAAAAGAGATGATAAACTGGTTCACAGATACTTACTAGTTTCAGTTTGGAAATCCCGGAAACCATCAAATATTGAACGTGCAGGCCGTCGTCTTTTAGGAGCTATAGGAGGGAAAAATAGAATTGATACAAAAAGTTAAACATTAATTTTGTAACAATTCTAAAAATGTCCTTATCTATAGCAATTTCTTATTTTAAGACACTCAGATTCATAATGGTGCCCTCCTTCAAAATATAAAATACTTTAAAAACCTTCAAGGCATTCATATATAATTAACCACCTTGAGCCCAATCATATTTTACAAAAAAGAAAATTAAGGCCCAGTTAAAAAACTTGGCCAAACTTGTGTAAAAAGACAGGAAGAAAGATTTTGAGGATGACTTCCCATGGCGATGAAGCTACATACATGCTGCAAATACATAATTCAGGTTAGCCTAAATGATCTGCCTACCCTTTAGTATAATACTTGAGTAAGTTCTAAACCATAATATTTAAGAACTACCTCTTAGTAAGTGGATACACATGCAGAATTATAAACACCAAAAAACTGTAATTTTGGAAGAAAATTTTTTCCTACAGTTAACAGAAAAATGAACAGAACCAACGTCCTTTGATACCCTTGTATAGCGTCTATTACCCAGTCCTTAAGTATTGTACAGATAAAGCTGAAAAAGCAATCATCGACACATTATCTTCCTGTATGTTCTTAAACATAATACCCTTTAGTATAATACTTGAGTAAGTTCTAAACCATAATATTTAAGAACTACCTCTTAGTAAGTGGATACACATGCAGAATTATAAACACCAAAAAACTGTAATTTTGGAAGAAAATTTTTTCCTACAGTTAACAGAAAAATGAACAGAACCAACGTCCTTTGATACCCTTGTATAGCGTCTATTACCCAGTCCTTAAGTATTGTACAGATAAAGCTGAAAAAGCAATCATCGACACATTATCTTCCTGTATGTTCTTAAACATAAAAATTTTACCAGGTCTTAAATGGGAAAAGAATCTGAAAAAGAATAGATATATGTATATGTATAGCTGAATTACTTTGCTGTACACCTGAAACTAACACAACATTGTAAACCAACTATACTCCAATTAAAAAAAAAGTTATCAGGTCATTTATATACATTACAGTAAATAAGGAAATTTAATGATTCTTTCAATATGGGTAACAGTTGTTCAGTTGGTTTATGGCAAGCCCCACGAGCACTGCCAGCATGTAACCAGATCAGTGCTACACATTAACAGATGATGATTAGACAGAAACTATAAAAGTCTCCCATCCCATGTCAAAGCATCTTTCCCAACAGCCTATGTTTGCCATTATATAGGGTAATTCTTTTAATCTAAGAACTACTGAGTAAAAAACAAAACAAAAAAATAACAAAAGAATGCAGAACCACATGTTAAAAAAATCCCACATTTGCTTAAAGCATTATCAGGTCAGTATATCATTTATGCACATATGTGTATCAGTATTTATATTAAAGAATCACAATATTATCTCTAGGAAAAGGAAATTTGGTAAAAATCAGAGACTTCCATATTTTAGCTTTGTACTGAATTTCAAAATTTAAACTGAATTTTACATATAAATTGTTTTATTTAAATAAATTATTATATAAATTTTAAACTTTATTAAACTTATAAAATTTAAATACTGCATTATTTTTCCTCCCTCCCTTTATAAACACGAAGCAAGAAATGTTATTCTTTTCAATCTTGGAACTATTTTTAATCAAGAGTTCCTATCTTAAATGTACATGTTTCTAGCAGCAATAATATTAACTGCTCAAATAATGCTTTCTTAAAACTCATTACCAGATATTACTTAACCATAACAATTAAGAAAGTAAGGTTATCTTAGGATAAGACATAAAACAGCTGCCTAAGAAAGCATATTATTATTGGGGAGGTAGTACATAGTAGATAAAAGGTACTTTTCTCCTACATTTAAACTGCCAAAGGCAGGCCAGTCAATATTCTACATTCCTCTCTCTCTCTCTCTCTCTCTCTCTCACACTCCCCGCCCCCACCCCACCCCCCAATTTAGCCTTTCTCTATTATACACTTGATCTCCTGGAGATTCATACGAGCTCCTCTTATTGCTAGCTTTCCAACCACTCTCTTTTATTTCTTGGGCTCATCACCTGCTCCCATTTGTTTCCCCCTTATATATCCTAAGTCTAACCAAGAATCTCTCCTCAAGCCACAACACCTCTAGCTCTAGGATCATTATTACTCCTGCCTGCCTCTTCAATATGTGGTTTCCTCACTCTTCCAAACCATATGCTATAAGTAAACATCAGTCCTCTGTACTCTCACTCCACTGTCCACATAATAGGAGTGCTGCTCACTGAGGTCAAAGAGACTAAGCTACAAAGAGCTAAAAGAGATTCAAAAAGGAGCTTCATAGTCAGAATAGGGGAGGAACAGAGAACAAAATTTAATGAGCAGAGCGGCACTGTTTCACATTTTCACAAATCTCTGTTAATAACTGGTATAAGAGAAGACACCTGAATTTTTAGATCTGCTTCTGCATTCAATCTGCTGCTATTCCTTTAGTTCGTGTATATGAAGAAAATTAAAATTCAATTTCACACAGACATGTAGTTGTAAAAGGGAAGAGTATTTTAATAGTGTTTTAAGATAATTGTGAACATTCTCCCCTGCTACTACACCAAAGCTCAACCAGTGGTAATTTCTTAAAGGTTGGCTGCAACATGGAATCTGAAATCTTATCAATGAACTTTTCATATTCTGCTCCATTAAAATCCATTAATCTTATGTGCTAGGCAGGCTCTGTGATGGCCCCTGATTATCCCTATCTCCCGGGATTCATAACCTGTGTGTGAACATCTTGAGTATGGGCAGGATCAAATAGAATGTGGCAGAGGTGATGGGAGGTCACTTCCAACAGTTAGGTTACAAAAAGATAGTGGATGGAGCTCTAGTGGTGCAATCTGTTAGCGCACGGTACTTATACAAAAAGATGGTGGCTTCCATCCATCTTGGGCTGCCCTCTCTGGCTCTCTCATTTGCTCTGCAGTAAGGAACTGATGTCTCCAGCCAACCAGCAGCCACGTGAGTAAATTTAGATCTTCCTCTAGTCACGCTCTGAGATGATCGTAGCCCTGGCTGACACCTTGATTATACCCTGTGAGAGACCCTAAACAGAGGCACCCAACTAAGCCACACCTGGATTCCTGACCCACAGAAATGGTGATATAACAAATGTTTGTTTCAGGAAGCTAAATTTTGAAGCGATTTGTTAAACAGCAATAGATATCTAACCTATATTGCATATATAGATACTTACATATAGATCCGAATAGATCTTTCACCTATGCACAATTTTGTAATATTCTGCTTTGGTCATTTGAAAATACCTGTTCACTGAGTTATGCAAATATTCCAAATACTGGCCATTTCATCATATGATATTAAAAATAAAATCACCATCTGTTAATGTCACTGCTAACCTCATCAGAAAGCCTTTAAGTACTGGGAAGCTATCAAGCTCACAATCATGCACATAAACTTTCTAAAATTCTAAGTTCTGCCTGAAAGCCTTTTTTTCTTTTCTTAAGTCACTGGCAACAAATAATGTCAGTTGTTTGCCTTGAAGCAGTTAACAGGCTTCGTTCACATTCAAGAAAATGTCTGCCAAATGTTTAAGTCTAAATAACTATAGTTTGTCAGTAATCTTTCAAGGAAAATAATGTTCCATAAAAAAAAGCAGCTAGTTTTGCTTTCAACTCAAACAACTGTACAAGTGTTTCACCTTAAAGTAACCAGAGTACTTCAGTATGCAGAAGTGCTTTATGCACACATCCTATTTCATCAAACAGAATAGTTTAAAAATGTGGATCAAAATCAAATGAAATTAATTTTTATTGCTTTGGCTTTTTTTTTTTAAACTGCAAGTGTGTGTCAGTGAAGAATTCAACAAATAGTAGCAGTTTGGTGCCACTGTCCTGATTCAATTAAGATGCAGCAGTATGACCCATCACTGCTTCTGAATTATCAGCCCAAATGTCAACACAGTGAAAAAGGCAAATAACTTGTTAGTATTATTATGAAAACAGTTTTGATCTTACAGACCCACTGAAAGGGCATCAGGGACTCCCTGACCACACTTTGAGAATCACACTTTAAATCAATACTATCCCTGGGACTTCCCTGGTGGTCCAGTGGTTAAGACTCCGCTCTCCCAACGCAGGGGACCTGGGTTCGATCCCTGGTCAGGGAACTAAGATCCCACATACCACTACTAGAGAGCCCGCATGCCACAACTACTAAGCCCACATGCTCTAGAGCCTGCACGCCACACGAAGACCCAGCGCAGCCAAAATTAATTAATTTTTTAAAAATCGATACTATCCCAAAGAAGAAAATAGTTCTCCAAAAACCTTTTCAAAGTTATAATAAAGTCTAATAATGAAAGTTAGGAATGACTCCCTAACTGTATAAAGTCATTCTCACCCCCCTCACCAAACCAGATGTAGAAGGAAGAAAGTGGAGTTTCAAATGGGAACTCTTTTGCCTCTGTTAAACAGTAAAATAGCACAGAATCCATTTGCTGTAGTCTTCCCCACTCAAAGATCTTGCCTTTATTCCTTGCAATAAAGGAAAGATAAAGCTTCCAAGGGCATTCCTCAGCTCCAAAATCTATAACATTTATATGAAAAAAAAAAACATGAACAATGCTTTATTACCTCTGGTATATTAAAGGCACAATGACTAGCTAAATTGAACAGTTCAGAAAGCACACATCATATTTCAATATTCAGACCTTATTGTTTTCTTCCTCCCATCTTTATTTCTGAATCTGGAAAGGATATTCTTTATTCCTTTCTACAGTAAACTCCAAAGCTCCCAAGTTAAAAATCAATCTTATAACTCTCAACTGAGTTGCTTTTTCAAATCAAAAGATATGGTTTATGTAATTTTCTTCATCCTTTTCTTACAATTTATTTCTTCTTTTAGTTTACCTACGAAACTTTTTATAGGCCTATTTCTCTGCACTGCTGTTCTCAATATATACAATATACATTTCTATGTCTCTGTCTACCCAACCAAATCATAACTTCATCTGCTGGGGGTTTTTTTTGTTTTTTTAATTTTTTTTTGGCCCATGCTGCATGACATGCGGGATCTTAGTTCCCCAGCCAGGGATTGAACCCGTGCCCATTGCACTGGAAATGCAGAGTCTTAACCACTGGACCGCCAGGGAAGTCCCCTATCTTCTGTTTTTGTTTTTGTTTTTTTTTTGCGGTACGTGGGCCTCTCACTGTGGTGGCCTCTCCCGTTGCGGAGCACAGGCTCCAGACGTGCAGGCTCAGCGGCCATGGCTCACGGGCCCAGCCGCTCCGTGGCATGTGGGATTTTCCCGGACCGGGGCAGGAACCCATGTCCCCTGCATCGACAGGCGGACTCTCAACCACTGCGCCACCAGGGAAGCCCTCTTCTGTTTTTTAATATACCTATTAATGCCTAAAATATCTGGCTCACAAAAGGTAAACAAGTGCTTATTAAAATAAAACTATAAATTTTCTTTAAATTTGATTAAATGTTCCATTTTCTACTATCTTCTCTATGCACCCCAGATTGATATCACAATTTTTTGCATGGATTAGGGATTACTTCCTCCTTTTTTCAATACAAGAACAGCACTTCTAGAAATTAAAAAAGAGTGAAGGTACAGCATATCAAGACAGTAAGGATATGGCACTCAAGTGGGTACCCAAAAAACAAAATATAATCATAGTCTTTTATCTAATGATAGATTTGTTTCCATTTTAAGGCAGCAGTTCTTTTTGCTTATTTTCCTCCTTTTGGCATTCTGCAACAACTATCAACTTTTTCATCTGGCTCACTCCTCGGAAAGAGCCAACTGTGCAACTTTCCTGAGGGGAGTACAGAATTACAAGATAAGAATCAACTCTACTTGAAGTAACAATCTCTGAGCAAGCCTTCATATCTTTTGATAGCTTCATTAAAATCCCGAAGACAACAATAAAGTCAAATAAAGCTAAGGAAAAAAGGTAAACTTACCACCAAACAAAGGTTCTGGTTCCACCAATATTTCCTGCTTTTGAGGAATTGGGGCACGGACTTCCTCTCTATTAAAAAAAAAAAAAAAGTGGAAAATATCCAAATGAAAACTGTTTTCTGCTACCTATTCTTACTGTAACTATTGTGAACACATTCAAATTAACAAATAAAATGAACAACAGATTTAGTGACTTTTAGGAACCACATTAAATTATGATAAATGACTGTCAGATGATTTCCATATAGAGATGAACTGGAATAAAGTACCTGGCATAGATAGTGCAAATGGGTTTACAAAGAAAGAGAACAAACAGAAAAATAAAAAATATTTCTCCTCTCCTCTAAGTTCCCTGCCCTAAATTCTTTAGAAAAAAAAGGAAGATAGGAAATTTACAAACACACACACACACACACACACACACACACACACACACACACAATTCAGGCAAAAAATTAATGGAAAATATGAGCTTAATAAAAGCAATATTACATCAATACTATATCAAATAATAGATAATTAAATCACAGATATATTAAAATAAGCTTAAACAGGCAATTAATTTTATGCTAGTTATGAAGTTGGCTAACAAAGGTAGTACCCTTGAATTATTTATTAAATAGACACTAACATATATAAAACAGAAAAAATACTCTTTTAAAAGCCTAAAAACTCTTCAAAGTTTACCTCCAGAGGGTTTACTAATAATCCATCTCTTCCAGTGAACAATTCTCATTTAAAATATGCTGTAAAAATGGTGTATATCTCTTTATAAATCAGTTTAATTATTTTAGTTTTAACTCACATACGAAATTCTGCTGATTAATGCTCATAGCAAGTAAGAGTAAGTTTCAAATTTAATATGCTCCCCTTATAATAAATATTAATTTATGTTAGGCCTAATGTTTTTCATTCAGGTGTTTCTAATAGTAATAACTGAGCTTAAGGCCCTGTTTTTGACACCTGAAAGTTGAAACTTCAAAACATACTTTATTTAATACAGTATCAATACTAATTTGTCAACAAAAACTAACATCCTGTAATCAAAGAACAACTAGTTAAACAAAGAAATCTACAATAAGCCAAATGAGTGAAGGATAAAGGATAATTCAAAATTATGTTAAGCACTCTTTCCTACTGGATTTCAGTCACTGCTCACACACAGAACTGCAATACTCTAAAGAAACAGACAATGTGTCTCTAAGAGGAAGCTCTATTAAATCTCTTTCACCAAAGAGAAACAGGCCATTATCTTAGCAAAACTAAAAACTTCAAACACATCTTTTACCTGAATAGATCTTTCCATTATTGGTATAATTCACCTTACTGTGTGTGTGTGTGTGTGTGCGTGTGTGTACAAAGTTATCTCAATCTAAGGCAATTTAATTACTCAAAAAACAAGCCTTAATCTGATGAAATACATCAATTAGGGTGATGGCTTAATTAGTAGTCCCTATACAGAAAGACTTGATTACTACATATTTGAGGTCATCTATTCCAAGACTGCTAACTACCCAGCAAAATGGAAGAATGGAACAGAAGGTGAACTGTAAAGAAAGAAAATTTTAGTTTAGGAAGTAGGTGCCACTATCAAATGTTAATCAATTAGTAATACAAATAATCTAAGTAAAATTATAATGTAATTCAGCAGGAAAAGACATTCATTAATCAAAACTATTTTCAAGTACAATTAAGAAAACATGTTTTAAACAGTGAGGACTGATATGTCCCCAGAAATCAGCTATGAATACCTGTTATTCAAGTGAATGTAAACTAAATCATGTTTTCATATTAATTTCCATTAAAGATTTGAGTTATGTTGGTGGAGAATGGGCTATCAAACTTGAAATACACAGCCAACATCGATAGGAGAAAACTTATATAAAATATAAATAATAACCTCTAGAGTTCACACTTTGTGGGGAAACAATATTACTCTAGAATCTGGAACTAGATAAAAAAAAAAAGAGGCAATCATGTCCTGAATGTTTATTTAGCTTTTTAAATCTAATTTAGTAAAAATAAAATCCATGTTTTTGCCTATTCCTATTTAAGGGGATTCTTCTTTTTTAGTATCTCATGTTGTAAACACTGAAGAGTTATAAATGGCTATGAGTATTAAAATCTTATTTAAGGATCTTTGAAATTTTGACTCAAAAATCAATGTTTTTCATTTGACTAAAATTCATCTCCAATATTTTCCAAAGACTACTGGACTTTTGCTTAACAGATATTCATTTCAAACTCTCATTGGTATCAAATGTAAAGGGCAGTAAACACCAAATGTATTTATCATCTGTTACTATGCTCTATATATTACAGTTCTATATGCTGAAGGTGCCTCTAAAGATTAGCAACATGTAGCTATTTAAGGCATAAATTTTCTTCAAAAATTTTTTCATGACAACTCAAAACTCTCCTGGGACAATGTAGGAAAATCCAGAATTGCGAAATCTGAGCTTTATTGGGCTTTCCTTCCATATCTGCTACTTAATTGCTGTATAGCTTGGGGAAATGGCTATCCTTCTGCTTCCTCTGTAAAATGTGGATAATAATGCCACCCTATAGGGTTCTTCTGAGGATTAAATAATGGACTTGACAGTGCTGTAGAGAACTTAAGGCATATAAGTATAAAAATTTTCACCTGACACTTTCAGATACTTTCAACTTTTAATTTGTTCAAAACAGAGAATTAACCTAACATGTAAAAATGTAACTGCTCAATTTTGGCAGGGGGTAGCTCCCAAAAATAAATAATAAATTCATACTCTGTGTGTGGTCTGACAGTGGAGACACTTGCTGAACTGGTACTTGGCTCTTCAGCGATTCCTCCACCATCCAAAAACATAGTGACTGCCATCTCCAGATTATTGTTGCAGGCTTCAAGCATATGTTTCCCTACACTTTCACTTGCACCTGAAATAGTATAAAAACAAGAAAAAAGTTTTAAAAAAGACACCTTCTTACATTCAGTTCACATCAGAATACAGAATTCCAAGCAAATAGTACTTTTCCCTCTCTAGAATGAATGATTTTTAAAACAAAAACTGTTTATTTCTATGCTTGTTGGCTGACTACTGTGAAATATACAGAGCTAGAAAAGAAAGCAGCAGCATTAAAAATAGTAGTCTTCCTTCATAATAAAACAAAAACTAAATAAAGCATTTATTTGCCATTTCTTTATATGGGCCGACTATATATTTGTTAATAAACTAAAAAAGAAAATGAAAAACTATGCTCTAGAAAGTTAGAAATATTTTGTTACAAAGAATGCATTCAGTTACCAATTTCTACTTCTATAAGAAAGGAAACACTTTAATAACAACGGGAGAGAAGGGAGATGGGATTTTTTGTCAGGGAGATGGAATTTTTTGTCAAAGATATAACTAAGTCAAAATTTGGTAAGAAATGTCAATCTTCATCATTTAAAACTGGTCCTATCACACACTCACTTGTACAGTAAAGCAAGCATAATCTGTTTGATGCAATGTAAACTGGTAAAGCCCTTTAACAAATCAATTTTATAACATGTATCAAGAAACATAATGCCTGTTACTTTTTTGACCCAGTAATTTGGGCGTGTGGTCTAAATAAATCTATATAAAGTCTAAATAAATCTACATAAATCTAGTCTAAATAAACCTATATAAAACACATGCATAAACATATCTATACACATGTCCAGTATAGCTTCAGTTAAAACTGAAAAATTATAGATAACATAAATGTCTAATAGTAGTAGAGTCTAAATTGTAAATCTATTTGGTGGGACATTTTGTGGGCATTAAAAAGCATCTCAGGGGCTTTCCCTGGTGGCACTGTGGTTGAGAGTCCGCCTGCCAATGCAGGGGACACGGGTTCGTGCCCTGGTCTGGGAAGATCCCACATGCTGCGGAGCGGCTGGGCCCATGAGCCATGGCCGCTGAGCCTGCGCGTCCGGAGCCTGTGCTCTGCAACGGGAGAGGCCAAAACAGTGAGAGGCCCGCATACCACAAAAAAAAAAAAAAAAAAGCATCTCAGGTCACAAGAAACTATATTCAATATCCTGTAATAAACCACAATGAAAAAGAAAAAAAATAAAAAGGGAAAAAAAAAACCATCTTGGGCTTTCCACTTGGGATGACCTTCCTTCTGCCTCAACTGTGTCCTTAAGAGTCCCCTGCAGTGAAGGCTGTGGGTGTGGGTGTGGTTTTTTGTTTGTTTTTTTGGTCTGACAACGCCTTTGTTTTGCTATTGTTCCTGAAAGACAGTTTCACCACTGGATATTCGTTTCTAAGGCTGACAGCTATTTTCTCTCAGTACATTGAAGATAGCATTCCAGTGTCTTCTGTTGCTGCTTCTGAGAAGTAAGTTGCCAGACTAAAGAAAAACATTTTTATACCAATCTGTGGTTTCTCTCTAGTTGCTTTTAAGATCTTCTCTGTCTTTGGTCTTCTGCAGTTTCACTCTATTTCCTGGGGCTGATTTTATTTATCCTCCTTGGGATTCACTGGACTTCCACCATAAGGACTGTTTTCATTTATCAGTTCTGAAAAATTCTCAGACATTTCTATTTAAAAATTACCACACAAGCTTTAAATGATACATTAAACAAAATGGACTTAATTGATATTTATAGGACATTCCATCCAAAAACAACAGCATACACTCTCTTCTCAAGTGCTCATGGAACATTCTCCAGGATAGATCTTATCCTGGGTCACAATTCAAGCCTTGGTAAATTTAAGAAAATTGAAATCGTATCAAGTATCTTTTCCAACCACAATGCTATGAGACTAGATATCAGTTACAGGAAAAAAATCTGTGAAAATTACAAACACATGGAGGCTAAACAGTACACTACTAAATAACCAAGAGATCAATGAGGAAATCAAAAAATACCTAGAAACAAATGACAATGAAAACACAATGACCCAAAACCTATGGGATGCAGCAAAAGCAGTTCTAAGAGGAAGTTTACAGCAATACAATCTTACCTCAAGACACAAGAAACATCTCAGATAAACAACCTAACTTTACACCTAAAGCAATTAGAGAAAAGAAGAACAAAAAACCCCCAAAGTTAGCAGAAGAAAAGAAGTCATAAACATCAGATCAGAAATAAAAGAAAAAGAAATGAAGGAAACAACAGCTAAGATTAATAAAGCTAAAAGCTGGTTCTTTGAGAAGATAAACAAAATTGATAAACCACTAGCCAGACTCATCAAGAAAAAAAGGGAGAAGACTCAAATCAATAGAATTAGAAATAAAAAGAAGTAACAACTGACACTGCAGAAATACAAAGGACCATGAGAGATTACTACAAGCAACTATATGCCAATAAAATGGCCAACCTGGAAGAAATGGACAAATTCTTAGAAAAGCACAACCTTCCGAGACTGGACCAGGAAGAAATAGAAAATATAAACAGACCAATCACAAGCACTGAAGTTGAAACTGTGATTACAAATCTTCCAACAAACAAAAGTCCAGGACCAGATGGATTCACAGGTGAATTCTATCAAACATTTAGAGAAGAGCTAACACCTGTCCTTCTCAAACTCTTCCAAAATATAGCAGAGGGAGGAACACTCCCAAACTCATTCTATGAGGCCACCATCACCCTGATACCAAAACCAGACGAAGAGGTCACAGAAAAGAAAACTACAGACCAATATCACTGATGAACACACATGCAAAAATCCTCAACAGAATACTAGCAAACAGAATCTAACAGCACATTAAAAGGATCATACACCATGATTAAATGGGGTTTATCCCAGGAATGCAAGGATTCTTCAATATATGCAAATCAATCAATGTGATAAACCATATTAACAAATTGAAGGAGAAAAACCATATAATCATCTCAATAGATACAGAAAAAGCTTTCAACAAAAGTCAACACCCAGTTATGATAAAAACCCTCCAGAAAGTAGGCATAGAGGGAACTTACCTCAACATAATAAAGGCCATATATGACAAACCCACAGCCAACATCGTTCTCAATAGTGAAAAACTGAAACCATTTCCACTAAGATCAGGAACAAGACAAGGCTGCCCACTCTCACCACTATTATTCAATATAGTTTTGGAAGTTTTAGCCATAGCAATCAGAGAAGAAAAAGAAATAAAAGGAATCCAAATCAGAAAAGAAGAAGTAAAACTGTCACTGTTTGCAGATGACATGATACTATACAGAGAATCCCGAAGATGCTACTAGAAAACTACTAGAGCCAACCAGTGAATTTGGTAAAGTAGCAGGATATAAAATTAATGCACAGAAATCTCTAGCATTCCTATACACTAATGATGAAAAATCTGAAAGAGAAATTAAGGAAACACTCCCATTTACCACTGGAACAAAAAGAATAAAATACCTAAGAATAAACCTAACTAAGGAGACAAAAGACCTGTATGCAGAAAACTATAAGACACTGAGGAAAGAAATTAAAGATGATACAAACAGATGGAGAGATATACCATGTTCTTAGATTGGAAGAATCAACACTGTGAAAATGACTATACTACCCAAAGCAATCTACAGATTCAATGCAATCCCTATCAAACTACCAATGGCATTTTTCAAAGAACTAGAACAAAAAAATTTCACAGTTTGTATGGAAACACAAAAGACTCCAAATAGCCAAAGCAATCTTGAGAAAGAAAAACGGAGCTAGAGGAATCAGGCTCCCTGCCTTCAAACTATACTACAAAGCTACCGTAATCAAGATAGTATGGTACTGGCACAGAAACAGAAATATAGATCAAGGGAACAGGATAGAAAGCCCAGAGATAAACCCACATGCCTATGGTCACCTTATCTTTGATAAAGGAGGCAAGAATATACAATGGAGAAAAGACAACCTCTTCAGTAAGTGGTGCTGGGAAAATTGGACAGCTACATGTAAGAGAATGAAATTAGAACACTCCCTAACACCATACACAAAAATAAACTCGGGCTTCCCTGGTGGCGCAGTGGTTGAGAGTCTGCCTGCCAATGCAGGGGACACGGGTTCATGTCCCGGTCCGGGAAGATTCCACATGCCGCGGAGCAGCTGGGCCTGTAAGCCATGGCCGCTGGGCCTGCACGTCCGGATCCTGTGCTCCACAACAGGAGAGGCCACAACAGTGAGAGGCCCGCATACCGCAAAAAAAAATAAATAAATAATAAATAAATAAACAAACTCAAAATGGATTAAAGACCTAATGTAAGGCCAGACACTATAAACCTCTTAGAGGAAAACATAGGCAGAACACTCTACAACATACATCACATCAAGATCCTTTTTGACCCACCTCCTAGAAAAATGGAAATAAAAACAAAAATAAACAAATGGAACCTAATGAAACTTAAAAGCTTTTCCACACGAAAGGAAACCATAAACAAGACGAAAAGCCAACTCACAGAATGGGAGAAAATATTTCCAAACGAAGCAACTGACAAAGGATTAATCTCCAAAATATACAGGCAGCTCATGCAGCTCAGTATCAAAAAAATGCAAACAACCCAATCCAAAAATGGGCAGAAGACCTAAAGAGGCATTTCTCCAAAGAAGATATACAGATTGCCAACAAACACATGAAAGGATGCTCAACATCACTAATCATCAGAGAGATGCAAATCAAAACTACAATAAGGTATCACCTCACACGGGTCAGAATGGCCATCATCAAAAAATCTACAAACAATAAATGCTGGAGAGGGTGCGGAGAAAGGGGAATCCTCTTGCACTGCTTGTGGGAATGTAAACTGACACAACCACTATGGAGAACAGTATGGAGGTTCCTTAAAAAACTAAAAATAGAACTATCATATGACCCAGCAACCCCACTACTGGGCATATACCCTGAGAAAACCATAATTCAAAAAGAGTCATGTACCACAATGTTCATTGCAGCTCTATTTACAATAGGCAGGACACGGAACCAACCTA